CCTCGCTGCTTACCGCTCTCCGGGGTGCACGTGAACGCGCACGCGTCACTCCCCTCTAACGCGGACACTTTGCCGGCGCGCGCACGCGCGGATGCGTCGGCCTCGAATCGCCCGCGCCCCCGCGACGCCGACGCGGCTCCCCGCCCCCCCTAGCGTCAGCCTGCCCGCCCTCCCGCCGGCCCACCGCCCCCGCTCCCCGTCGGCCTTCTTCCAGGGCTCGGGCCCGGCTCGCAGCTCGCGCCTGCGCACAGGCCACAGATCCTCCTCCGCGCGCGCCCTGCCCCCCACACGCCCTCGCTTGAACGCACACTTCGCCTCTGTGACCCCGCCCCTCACCGGCCAGCTGCGCCGGCGGCCCTCCCCCACCTCTTCTGGGAGGGTGGTGACCCCCGACCCCCCACAAAGCACAACACCCCCCAAGCAGAGGGGAGTAGCGCCCCATTCCCCTTCAACTGCCCTCTGCGCGAGTCAGCCCGTCACAGTCGCACAACCTGAGGGCCGGGCGGCCTGGGCGAGGGCAGCCGTTGCCCGCCTCAAAGCGGGGTCTCCTGGGGTCAGGCTGCTGGGCCCGGCCGGCCAGACTGCCCAGGGCGAGGGGGCGCAGGGAAGGAGCGCCTTCCCGCCGGCTTCCCTCCCCTCACGCGCCCGCCTATGGGCCGAGGCCGGCCTGCCCGCCATCACCGGGCAGGCCCCGGCGCCCTCGCCGCGGGGCCAGTCCGCCCTCGGCTCGGGGGGCTCCTCGGTGCAGCAGCCCCCTCGCCGCTCCGAAGGGGCAGGAAACGGGAGTAGCATGTCTGTCCTGGGCTCGGCTCCCCCGGGGGAGCTCCGGGCTCTTGACAAGGGCGTCCACAGGTACCAGGCGCGGGAGTGGTCGCCGCGACGGCCCGGGGGCGGTGGCGGCCGGCGCGCCCACCGCGGGCCCGAGGCGCCCGGGGAGGTGGCCCTGCAAGCCCCCGCTCCTCGGCCACGCTCAGGTTTCCGCAGCGCCCGTGCCCCCGGCGGCCCGGGTGGGACGTGACCCCGCCCCCGGCGAGTCGGGGCGCCCCCCACGTAGGGGTGTGCGAGCTGTCCCGAGCCCGCGGGCCGACCCCGCCGCCCCGGGCCGCGGCGGGCGCTGGAGGCCCGGCCGGGAAGATGTCTTCTCTCGGTGCGCGCAGCTTCGCGCGAGGGTCAGCGACGGGGCAGCGGCCGCCGAGCCGCGCCAGCCCTGCCCACGAACGGGCTCCCGCGGCTCGACAGCTGCCCGACGGGCTAGCAGGCTGGGGACGTCGACGGAGCCCGGCCAGAGGTATCTGAGCAACGCCATGCGAGCAGCCCAACCGCGATCAGGGCATGTCTCCAGCCAATCTCGTGCTTTGGGGCCCGTTTAAATTATAAATCCCGTAAAGGACCGTGGCTTGGGCGTTAACGCACCCGGGTCAGCTCTGTTGGCTTCACTACACTCTTGCTGAGAGGTGTCACATAGATCTTTTTTCTCCCTGCCTTGGTTTCCTACCTTTTAAACTCTTGATTCCTGGGATCCGGGGATGGAGGAGAGAGGAAGGGCATGGAGTGAATCATATAACTTCCATGAACAACATGGAACTCTTTTAGGAAGACGTTAGAGAAAGACAATAATTGAAATAATGATATCTTCTATTTCTGTCAAGGTTTGGACTCTAGGGCAAAGGCAGTATGTAAACCCAAGGTATTATTATTTATTAGCACATGAGGTTTTTCTACATGCAAACTTGGGGAGCTTTACAGACATTCTCTGCTTTGTCTCACAACATCCTTAGGGGACAAGCTAAAGTGCAGGTACCATTACGCTCATTTCAAAGATAGACACTTGAAGTACAGAAAGGCTAAACAGCTTGCATGACTACTCTAACAGAGAAGAGTTTAGTGCTTTGCCACACCAGACTGCAACTTCTCACAAACAACACAAAAGGTTTGTTAACATGGTATCACCCTCTTGCATTCCAGTCACTGGGAAATATTCTTTATTCTAATACTAGTTTTGTTCAGACTTCTTAGATTTTCAGAGCAAATGAAGAGCTTCACCCAAAATTATCAGGCCTAAAGCCTAAGCCTTTCAGACTATAGTAAAATATATTTAAAAGGCAGCAGTCTTTAACATTGGCACTACCACATGCGATCCCATAGGCCTCTGGCTCTCTGCAGGTATAGAAAAAGGCAGCAGCTTGTTTGTATTGTCTTTAAGAAGGAGAGAAAGACTTTTGCCATTGTCAGGCATCATTGCTATTTGCAAAATAAACGGCTTTATTTCCTTCCCACTCATCCCTATAAACCCATGAGATACTTGGGGGCAAAGAGAGAGAGAAGGAGGTCTCTAGCAGAAACTCAACTTGGTCTTAAGATCCAGGACCCCTTAAAGTAATTAACCATCAGTGAACTGAGTTGCTCACCTTCAGATAACAGATGCCTCCTACAGGTTTAACTCAGGTGGGTATGCTGGGACGAAACCTAAGAAGGCTTCAAGAACAATAATAGTAATACTTTGAACAGGACTTCGAGTAAAGGTTTGTCAGATTGCA